TTTCACCTTATGCTTCGTGAAATTGCATTGTCAACGTTAACATCTCCTTATCAATATCTAACCAGACCTTTACTTAGTTTAGATATGTTCCCCTTTGATCAAACCTCTATCAATAAATTAGACCGTCTTAAATCACAATTTACTAATGCTAACGCTCTTTAATTCTATACGGATGGCTCACTCACATCCTTGGAATCTCCTGAATGCTGGATGGGAATAACGTGGTTACAAACTAACCAAAATTAGCCTTTGCTCTCCTTTAATGCAACACTTATTTTGCACTCTCCTTCTTCAACATTAGCAGAAATAGTTGCTATTCTTGCTGCTATATACACAGCCCCACTGAACTCCAACATTGAAATTTGCACAGACTCACAAGCTGCAATTGCCTCATATCAAAAAATCACCACCATATGTGAGGAATCTCCCTTATTAAATCCTGCTTTCAAAATTCCTTATTTCTATATTTGGATGATCTTGTTGCAACTTATTACATCCAATAATATTATATTATCGCTGACAAAGATCAAAGCTCATAGATTTGACGAATTTAACAATAAAGTAGATGCTCTAGCAAAGCAACTCTCTAGCGATCATCTGAGTATTAACAGTAACCATCTAGGTCCAAAATATTTCATGAGCTATAATAACACACCAATCATCACACCACCACGTTTATTTATTAAACACATGCAACAAGCATCTTGGGCTGGAATACTTTTATCCCTTCCCCAATTTGCAAAGTATCACAATTTTCACATCGATTGGTAAACTCTCTTTTACATTCCATTCTTAATGACTCAGAAAATGCTAGAGTAACATCATTTGATGCGTGCAAACAGAAGCAATTCAAGATCAAATTATTATTACAACTACTCTCCACTTTTACAATAATGAATGCACAATATTCACAACTGTATACCTCTAATATTTGCTTCCGGTGTAATACTGCAACTGAAGACTTTGATCATATTTAGTCTTGTTCCCAAAATACAATTTCGCTTACTGATTTAATACAAAAGCACAAATAGTCTTTCTTGTTTCACCTCAAAGAATCTAATAGACCTAACAACGATACTTTAATTGATGCTATTGATCAATCTTCAATCTGGTATTGCAACTCTTTCAATAACAACCTATGTTTTATGGATCTCATAAAAGGAATCATCCTTTCGTCATTTTCCTCCGCTATTACTTCTATCATCATTATTTGATGATATTTTCTCCTCAGCGCATGATTTATGGCTATTACGATGCACATCACTACAAACTTGAAAAACTTTAAACAATATCAAAGATGATTTCTCAGTTGCTTGGGTCTCCTCTAGACTTCCACAACCTACACAAACTCTATATAATAACCCCTTCTCCTTTTCTGCAGCTCTTGCTTTTGTTCTCACTGGTCAAATTTTTGGTATGACAGTAACCACGTCCTCCTTTCCGGACGTTCGATATCTGTACGTTAGTTTAGATTAGTTTCTTTTCTTATCTAATTTATAGTTTAGTTCGGTAAAGTGCAAGGTTGGTATTGATAAAGTAGTTTAGTCTCTAGATTATTTTATAGATATTTTTGTATTTTCTGTTTTATTTTGTTTTTCTTGTAATTTCATAAATATTAATAAAGATCATGTGAGACTGCCGCATTTAATAAAAAAAAAAAAATCATCTTTGCACATTATTTTTAGGTGTAACAATATTTAATTGATTTACATATGCAAATAATGTCAATCAGATGTAAAACTTATATTTATGCATATTAATTATGTATGTTAATCAATTATAGTAACATTACAAAAATACAAAAAAAAATTTCAAAAAATCAAAAAATAAAAATTTCAAAAAAAATCAAAAAAAATATGAAGCAAAGTTTCAAAATTAGAGCAGAAATTGAAAAATAAATTTCTACTCTAATTTTAAAATTCCGTTCTAATTTTTAAACTTCACTCCATTTTTTATTTTTCAATTTCCATTTTAATTTTTAGACTTCATGTTTTATTTTTTAACCTCCGTTTTAATTTTTGGACTCTATTTTATTTTTTACATTTCAACCTCCATTCTAATTTTTGGACTCTGTTCCATTTTTTACATTTCAACTTCTGTTCTAATTTTTTGACTCTGTTTCATTTTTTACATTTCAATCTCCATTCTAATTTTTGGACTCTATTCCATTTTTTTACATTTCAACCTTTATTCTAATTTTTAGACTCTATTCCATTTTTTTATATTTCAACTTCTGTTCTAATTTTTAGACTCTATTTCATGTTTTTTACATTTCAACCTTTGTTTTAATTTTTGAACTCCATTCTATTTTTTACATTTCAATCTCCATTCTAATTTTTGGATTCCATTCTATTTTTTTTACATTTTAACCTTCGTTCTAATTTTTGAACTCTGCTCCATTTTTACATTTCAACCTCTATTTTAATTTTTGGACTTTACTCCATTTTTACTTTTCAACCTCTATTCTAATTTTTGAACTCTACTTCATTTTTACTTTTTAATCTCCATTCTATTTTTTTGAATTCTACTTTAATTTTTTAAACTTTACTTCATTTAGATTTTAAAGAATCATTAGGTTATTTTTTTATAAACTTTATTAATTATTTTGTTTTTTTAATTTTTTTTAGAATGATTTTTGCATAGATTTTTGTTTTTAATAAATTTGAACTTTAAAATATTAAATTATAAATGAAATCATAAAAATTTTTTTAAAATAGTATAAATATAATAAATGTTTTTTGCATATAGGAATTATCTTTTTAGATTTCTAAACTTCAGAAGTGTATTTTTTAAAAAAAATTATCATTTGGTTTGTTTGAATTCTAAACAATTATATTAAATAATTAATTATATATATATTTTTTTTTTAGATATTATACTGAATTTTATAAAACCAAAAAAAAATTATATATTATTGTCTTTTATTATCTTTTATATTAGTTTTAATTTAAACAATTAATAATTAATAAGCATTTGTATTTGTTTAACAGATTTATTCATTTTTGAAATTAGTATAACAATAATTAATTATATATATAATTCATTTTCTTTTTTCTTTTTTTTTTTAAAAAAAAATTCTTCATTTTCTATATATAAATTGTATTTCTTTCAACCATTTATTTTCCTTTTATTCAAACTTTCATAATGTTTTTCTTCTAAGAATTATCAGAAAATTTTGTAAAATTTTAAATGAATTTAATCATGAATGTCATATGGTTTTATTTGAGAAATCAAATAGATTTGAAGCATAATTGATTAGTAACTAAGTTATTGATTTAGTAAGTAATTATAATCCTTTAATCCTTTAAGTAAAATAATTAAATAAGAACTTATCATCAAATCTCTAATTTGTGAAAATCAATGCTAAGATGCAAAAAATAAGTATATTCAATTTTTTAAGTTATAGGAATATACTTTCGAATATATAGATCAGTTACTATTAAGATTAAATTATAAATTACATAATTTATAATATGATTTTATATTCATATAACTTTAAGATTATATATTTCCTCCTACATATGCTTTTAGTATATGCTAACTTAAGTTTTATTAAGATCAATAGATTTTTGTATTTAAAAAAATTAATTAATTATATATTTATTTTATTTATTATTAATTTTAGTAGAATTCTATATCTGCTTTTGATTGATATGTAACTAAAAATCAAAATAAAGATTTTTGTAAAGAATTATTTTTAAGTTAGCAAAATCGAATCAATGTACTTTCTAAAGATTTTAATAAAATTATTAAAATAATATATAATTTGAATATAAATTATAGATTAAATTTAGCTAAAAAATATTTTCATAAATTTGTTATTTGCGAAGATATTAAAAAAGAAAAGGACTTTGTTATTATTAATGAAAATCAATCTATTCTGTTAAAATGTGATGATAAAATTGTTGGAAAATTAATTTGTAATGTTACAAAAAAAATATTGCAAATTATTTTGGACTTTAAATAAAACTTATCTATGCATATCCTAAAATTAATTGTAGATAAAAAATACATGCTGATTCAGAAAAATTAATTGGTTATAGTCTTCATGCAAATTTTTTAGATCTATCAACCACTAATTCATATGTATATAAAAATAAAAATCTTAATCTAGAGATACAAAGAATATATAATGAAAATGGAAATAGTTTTGGAGAATGATTATATAAAAATGCTGAAGATCATATATCATGGTCAGTATTATCATATGAAACATTTAAGCAAACAGTAAATTTAAATAATAAACAGAAAATAAGTGCAGTATTTTGTGCAGAAAACTATGAAGATGTAGGACATCAGAATAAGAATAGATTAAAATTTGCAATAGGATTTGTATATGAAATTAGTGTAATTAAAGAAGGGTATTTTATTTATCCTGAATATGATATTACTATTAAAATAACATCAAATTCAATATGGTATTAGTTAACGTAAGCTAGAGTTTATATCCGTTCATCCAGATATCTGATTAACTTGTATCTGTTTCAATCCAGATATCCAGATAATTTATCTGGATAATATCTAGATATTCAAGATATTAACTGAATATCCTAAATTATCTGGATATCTAGGATATCTTTTGAATAAAAATTTTATTTAAGGTTTTTTTTTTCATAATTGATAATTTAATTTAATTTCTCTTTTTTCAAAGTTAATAAAGAAACTTCGCTATACGTGTATTTTATATTGTTTCATATATGCAATATGTATTGTCGATCATAAATAATATCATATCACGTCATTTAACGTCATATAAAATATATAATATTTATAATATTTATAAAAATAAACAATAGAAAATTTACAAAACAATTAAAACAATTAATCCGTTCCTTATTCAATAATAATTTTATAAAAATTTTACTTTATAACAATTATATTTACGATATCATAGTAGAACAAATATAATTAATTTATTAATAATCTACAATACGTATAATACAAAATATTTGTCTTCGCTTACAACCCAGTAAGATTATTCTTATTCTCATACAGTTTAACTATATGACCTAATCAAATTGCTCAGATTCTGGAAAAATCTTATCAAGAAGACGCCAATTTTGTTTACAAAATACTAAATGTTCAAAGGTAAATGGCAATAAAGCAGTTCGTTTAACTGTTATAACATTTTCAGTATCAGAAAATAATCTTTCACTGAAAGCAGATGTTGCCGAAATAGCTAAGTACTTTTTTGCTAATTGTGATAAGATTGGAAAGCGTGATTTCTGAGATACCTACCATTTAAAAGGACAAGTACTAAAATCTGTTTTCTCCATCATTATATATTTTTCAAGTTCATCATGCCTTACAGGTCGATAACGATTAGCAAATATATTTTGAAGAAGAGAATTTTCAGGTAATTGTAATGGTTGCTGTTGAACTATATCTAAATCTTCTTTAGTTTTTTCATAAATTTCTCTTAAGAGAATTTTCATTTTAATTATTTGTGATTCAGATGCAAAACTAAGAGATTTACATCTTAGATCCAAGAATGCAGCTATCAAACCTTCATCTTGAGATATATTTTAATAATATTTCATTGCTATATATAATGCAGATTTAACCTTTCCAATTAAATTATTACAGTCCTGTGATATATTTATTGAAATTTTTCGTCACTTTGGATGATCATCAATTTCATCATCATCATCTGAATCTTCAATACTAATATCATTATCAAAAACCGTTGTAGGATTAGTAAGATCAATTTCCTCAGGATTTATTTCACTAAAACTAATAATCCCATTTGTAATTTCTGTAATTGCATTATACATAAAGCTTATTGTCTACCTTCAAGAAGTTCAATTCCTGATGCAAAAGGTTTTAATATTATAATTAATTGTTTGATGGCAACCCACTCATCACCAGTAAGATTAATTTCACTGAGTCTTTTTCCATCTTTTCGTATTGTAGGATCTTTATCTCTTAATATAGTCATTGATATTACATCAATGTAATCATGAATTTTTTTTAGCCGAATCCATGCTAAGTACCGTAAACAGTTGACTAAAGTACTCAGGTATTTTATCAATTCGTGAAGTTGAAAGGGTACTATACTACAGGAAGTACTTTGATCTAAAAGAAGGGTACTACGCTATACCATATAAGGTCTACTATTTGAATTTAAATTAACCAATAAGAAGTTTAAATATTTGCATGCATATAGCGTGGCTTAGTTTTTTAAAAAATTTTTTTAAACAAAAATTTTTTTTTTAAATGAAATTTTATTTTTTTTTAAATGAAACTTTTTTTTCGTAATTTAAGAATTTCCAACGATTTTATCATTTATCATAATCACTGATCATTTTATAACCAAAATGATATATCATAAAGCGCATTTTAAAACCTTTTTTTTTTATTTCGCGTTTTAACTTTTGTTTTTTTTATCTTTTCCTTTTTATTTTTTTTTGATATGATTGTTCACCGAAATAAACCTGCTAATAAAAAAACAAGAGTAACAACAAAACAAAAAAAATAATGGTGTGTTAGAGAAAAGTTACTTGTAATAAAGCATGCAGAACAATGTGAAAGTAAAAGTTTAACTGCAAAACAATTTCAAATAGAACTAAAGCAAGTTCGAGACTGGATAAATCAAAAAACCAAACTTGAAAATGCAGCACCATATATTCAAAAATTACATAAAGGCAAAAGTTCAGCTTTTCCAAAACTTGAAAAAGAGCTTTCTTTATGGGTGATTGATCTGCGTAAAGCTGCAAAAGCTGTTACACGAAATATAGTAGTTAGAAAAGCAAAATTATTTGCTAATAAAAAAATGGATAGATTTTTATGTAGATATTAAAGAATTTAAATTTTCAGAAGCATGATTAGAGGGATTTATGAAAAGATACAATTTTGCTACAAGAAGAAGAACTCATATTACTTAACATCTTCCTGAAAATCTTTTAGAAAAGCAGCAAAACTTTTTAGCTTTTATTTTATACAGGCGCATCCAATATGACTATCCATTAAAATACATTAGTAATATGGATGAAACTCCTGTTACCTTTGATTTATCTTATTCAACTACTTTGGATTATCATAGTACTTCAACCGTTAATATATAAACAACAGGTCACGAAAAGTCAAACTTTACAGTTATTTTAGGATGTATGGCTAATGATACAAAATTACCAGCAGTTTGTATTTTCAAACTTAAAAATATTCCAAGAGAATCATTTCCTAAAGGAATTTTTATTCGTATAAATGATAAAGGATGGTGTAATGAACAAGAAATGCTCTGGTGGATTGAGAATGTATGGACTCGAAGAAATTTATTAAATAATTCAAGATCTTTATTAGTTTTAGATTCTTTTTGGGAACATCTTGTGGATTCAGTAAAAAATAGGTTTAATGAAAAACAAACAAATATTGCAGTTATTCCTAGTGGGCTTACAAGTAAATTACAACTATTAGATGTAGCAATTAACAAAAGTTTTAAAGCAAATCTACGTCAATATTACAATGATTGGATAAGTTCTGAGATTCGTAAATTAACACTTTCTGGAAGAATTAAAAAACCTTCATATGCTAATATTGCGAGTTGGGTAAAAAGATCATGAGATGATATTGATATTAATTTGATTCAAAAATCATTTAAATGTTGTGGTATTTCTATTATTAGAGATAGTAGTGAAGATGATTTAGTATTTAATTATGATAGTTTGCAAAAGAAAAAAAGTAAAAAAACTGAATTAATTCATATTGATAATGAAGAAAATCAAAGTAAT